ACCGCAACCTCCGCCTCCTGGGTTCAAGCAATTCTCCTGCCTCAGCCTCCCTAGTAGCTGGGACTACAGGCATGCGCCACCATGCCCAGCTAATTTTTGTATTTTTAGTAGAGACGGGCTTTCACCATGTTGACCAGGATGGTCTTGATCTCTTGACCTCGCAATCCACCCGCCTCAGCCTAAAGTGCTGGGATTACAAGCGTGAGCCACCGCGCCCGGCTGATTAAATGGATTTTGAAGGGCTGGAACCAAATCCATTTAATTTACTTCAACAACATTTATTTCACATTTTATCAGTAGTATACTATGCATCCAGATGAGGACAACCTGATTTATTCACCTCTGCTATGCCCATGTATGTCTCAGTTTCTTCAATCAGGTGAAGACACCCCAATACCCATTGGGGTCTACCTTAGAAAGACATGGCTCCTCCATAAGTTTCTGTACTGACATTTTGATGGTAATAAGTGACTAAACAGAAAAACTTACGATAACATTAAGGGATTTTGTATTTCTTTTTCTTCTTTTTTTAAGAGACAAGGTCTTGGTATATTGCAGAGGCTGAAGTACAGTGGTTATTCACTGGCATGATTATTTGCCATACAGCCCTGAACTCCTGGACTAAGGAATCCTCCTGCCTCACACTCCCAAGGAGCTGGAACTAGGGATATTGTATTCCTTACCACACAAAGCAAAGTGTGGATGTAGTGGAATCACGGCTCATGATCACAAAGGGACTGACAGTTGGAAAACATACAGAAATGAGGGCAGCAGAATTCACCAACCACCAACTGGGATTATCAACTAGAGCAATACAAGCATAAATAATGGAGGAGAGGGTGTGAAAGCACACAAAGGTGGTCACCAGGACAAGGATGCTCTGGGTGGCTCTGGACTCAGGGGAGGCTCTGGAGAAAACATGAGTCCTATGAATGTGCTGGACCCGCTTCTTGTGCCTGGACAGGATGCAAATAATGGAGCCACTGGACAAGACTGTGAGCACAGAAAATAAAACTTCAGGGAATACAGATAATGCTACATACAGGGAATCTGTAACTGTGTTTTGACCTTGACTAGAACAGTATTCAAAATCTCTTTTCTTTGTGATGTTTTTGTTGCTATATGTGACAACTGTATACACCGGAAAAATGAAATTGATCACCAGGTGCAGGATCCAGCAGAAGGGAATGGAATGGCTAATGTGCTTTGTGATTTTTACTTTAAAATATTTCCACCTCGAGTTAATGGGGCTGATAATGATGGCCTGGAAGACACTCAGAAGGCAGGTCGTTCCGATGGACACTCCCCTGCCCACTCTCTGAACATACAGAATAAATTTGCATCCAAAATCACTGAAGAAATGTTTCAGTCCAAAAGCTGTCATTGCCTGGGGAAGTCCTTTAGAGAGAATGAACAGAGAGTTTGCCATAGTGAGGTGCTTGAGAATCACATCCGTCAACCTCACTCTGCATCCAGTGTGGGAAAGGAAGAGATAATGGTAAAGAAGAGAGAAATTTCCCAGGATTCCAACTGAAGACTGGGCTAAAAAGATTATTCCAATTGCCACATGCCTGGAGGATATTCTGTCATTCAGCAAATTTTGCTTTAAATTATCATAACAATCATTCCTATGAGCAAATAGCATCCTTAAAGTTTTTGTTTTGTTTTGTTTTGTTTTTGACATCAAGAGTAGCTTTCATTGTGTGCACCTGTGGGATTGCAAAAGGTATTAAGAGGCACAAATAGAGATGGAGGGAATTGTTAGGATATCTCATGGGAGTCAGCACTAAGGAGGAGGTGGTGTTAACCTGGGTGAGACATTGAGAAGCGACAACAAATGGAAACAAAAAGTAATTCAGCATTTTCACAATAAGCTGATTTTGCTAGTCATATGAGTAAAAAGAGACAACCTCAATTACTACCCAAACCATACAACAAATCAGTTCTAAAGCATCACTGACCTAAATTTTAGAAAGAAGTAATGCAATTTTTTTTAGTATAACAAGAATATTCCTGCGGCCTGATAATAAGATACTGTACCTTAAACAGCACAAAACATACTAATTATATAGGTGAAATGAAAGATCATATTTAAGAGCTGGCTGTTATCAAAACACACAAACATGCAGACACACAGACACACACACACAGGGATAGAGAGAGGGATAGCTGTAGAGCAAAGGACATTTAAAGATCACGTAAAATATCCCAACAGAAACTTGAAAAAGATATTATTCAATGAATCAAAAGTATAGGATTAATGTTTAATGTCCTTAGTAATCATGACAATTCAAATAACATCACTACCTGGTATTGTATACCAACCAGAAATCTAAAATAAAAGTGGCAGTAAATAGTAAGTTTTCTCAAGGATGCAGATAAACCAGGAATCACATACACTGCTGATGGGTGTTAAAACTAGCATATTCTGGAAAACTGGTGCTGTTTAATTAAGCTGGACATATATGAGCCTATATACCATCAATTCCACTCTTATGAATCTATCCCAACAAAATTTCTATCTGTATCACCAAAAGACAAATTTCATAATTTATATAGCAGCAGTAGTCACCATAGCCCCAAACTGAAAACCACCCATATGTCCATTAACATTAGAATGACTTCATTAATTGTTTGATATTCACACAATGGAATCCTATACATCAATGCTAACAAATGCCAAGAATATATTCACAAAAATCATATGGAACAAAAAAAGGGCAAATATAAAATCGTTCTTGCTGTATGCTTTCATTTATATAACGTACAAAACAGGCAAACCTCATCTAATGTCTCAAATATTAGAATAGGTGTAAACCTCTCCTCAAACATACCCAACAGAGCTGTGTTCTTGAGGGTCAGAACACACAAAGGGCATGTAGAGGGCTGGCAGTAGTCTGGTTTTTTTTTTGTTTTTTTTTTTGATGATCTAAGTATTGTTTATAGCGGTGTGTTTTGCTTATGAAATTCCACTGAGCTGTGCACTTATAACTTGTGTATGTTTCTTTAATTTAACAAAATGCACATAAAAGTTGGAAAAAGTACCTGGGGAAAAGGATATTCCTGTGAATGTGTTTGACCTTTTGCTTGTGTTAGAACAAGCAAAAGTTTATGCAGTCACAAGCCCAAATCATGAGTCCAAACAAAAAATACCAGGTGAAAAGAACAACAGTGCATAGCATGAGTTATGATTATGTCATGAAGTTCAGCAGAACAGTATCCTAATTTTTTTTTCTTTGTGATGTTTTCTTTCTGCTTTTGACAACCTTATAGATATGAGACAAATGATATGTACCAGCACTGCAGAATCCAGTAGACGAAACGGAAAAACTTAGTGTACATGAGGGTTTTCATTCTAGATTCCACCCTCCTGGGGTTCTTGGGACTTATTGAGATGGCTAGAGACACTCAAGGCAAGTGAGGATAGTGGACATAACCTGCCATCTCTGTCAGGATAGAAACATTTATGCGAAACATTAAGGAAATGCTTCAGCCTGAAAGCTTCCATGGTCATGGGAACACTTTTAAAGAGAATGACCAGGAAGTGACTGTAGGTGCATGAGAGTCAAATTTATGGGCCTCAACCTGCTTTCAGTGCAGTGAGGGAAAAGATAAAGAAGCAAGAAGATGCCCAGGATTCTACCTCCAGTCTGAGACATGTGGATCTTTCCTATTGCCAAATATCTGGAGGTCCTTCTGCCACTTCCCACTGACTGATATTGTCAGAGCCAGAGGACCATGTATGGGGACATGCAATGTGGGCTACATTTTCATCAAAATCCAATATTCTGAGAAAAATGTGCCAATTTTTTATTTTATTAAGAGGCTTCCCAGGTTTGAATGTTATTACTAATTTCAGGCTAAATGCTTATGTATCACTAATACCTAGGTTATATACAAGTATTAGTAATGATGTGAGATTTTGGAAGACATTAACATACAAGAAATTAATGTAAGTAGAATCTGGGGAATATGAAATCTTGTACAATATATAAATTCAAGCAACAGAAACATGCATTATGATCTTGGTATTGATGTTAGAATATTACGAAACCTCAGGAAATAACAAAGATATATTTGACCCTGAGAACTGTTGTCCAAAAGCCGTAATAATAAGAACGTTATTTTCTGTTAAATGTGTTTCTACTTCAAGAGAAAATACAGTGTCACCATAATCATCAGACCACAGGTTTTTCAAGAAAGACACAAGTACTATCTCTATTAACTGGATCACAAACCTAGATTTACACAAAAATATACATTTTTGGCTGGGCATGCTGGCTCAAGCCTGTAATCCCAGCACTTTGGGAGGCCGAGGTGGGCGGATCACAAGGTCAAGAGATCAAGACCATCCTGGCCAACATGGTGAAACCCTGTCTCTACTAAAAATACCAAAATCAGCCGGGCATGGTGGCGCACGCCTCTGGTCCCAGCTACTCAGGAGGCTGAGGTGGAAGAATCGCTTGAACACAGGAGGCGGAGGTTGCAGTGAGCCAAGATTGAGTCACTGCACTCCAGCCTGGTGACAGAGCAAGACTCTGTCTCAAAAAAAAAAAAAACATTTTAATACCAGAACATATTCAGATTATGATTTCTGCACAGGATTCAGTAATTCTTCTAGTTCTATTTTAATATTCATTATAAGCATATGAGTTTATAAACATACCTACAATAACAGTACTGGAAATTTAGTGTTTGATTTGTTGTGAGAATGCGAACGGCAGAGCTATTTTATTACTACAATCCTTCAGCATGTTAGAAATCAGATGTCAGATTTTATGTTCACTTGAATTATTGACCAAGAATCATCCTCAGTGAGGGTTTTATTAAAAGTAGCCAACCGGGACTGGCAAAAGTGTTGTACCTTTTTTTTTTTCTTTTAAACTAACTCAGTGCATAGATGAGGAATTATTTCTCTCCTTGACTAGCTGTGCCACTGAATGTGTTTCTACCCCAGAAGAATCCCTTTCCAGACACAAAAAGCCTTCTTTTCCTTACAGGCTTTGCCTCTCAGACTAAGATGGAAAATACTCACTGGACTCCAGGGTGATGAGCTCAGTCATGACAGCCAGTACATGAGGGAGAGAGGCAGCCAGAGCGTCAGATAAAGGTTAGTGATTCTGTGACCTCACCTCCCCTCAGAACTGCAATTATCATTTCACCTAGAGTGACCATGACAGTGCAGGCTTGGGGAGCTGAGAACATCTCTGAAATCCCTTTTCCCAGTTGCTAATTACCAATATCAATTAAAAGTTTCTTGTGAGTATCTTTCTAGAGACCACTGAAGTGTTTGGGAGAGGCTGTTACTTTTTCATGATCCCTAAAGGCACACACACAGAGTCATATAGAAGGAGCAGAGAATTTTTTTTTTTTTTTTTGAGACGGAGTTTCGCTCTTGTTACCCAGGCTGGAGTGCAATGGCGTGAACTCGGCTCACCGCAACCTCCGCCTCCTGGGTTCAGGCAATTCTCCTGCCTCAGCCTCCTGAGTAGCTGGGATTACAGGCACATGTCACCATGCCCAGCTAATTTTTTGTATTTTTAGTAGAGACGGGGTTTCACGATGTTGACCAGGATGGTCTCGATCTCTTGACCTCGTGATCCACCCGCCTCGGCCTCCCAAAGTGCTGGGATTACAGGCTTGAGCCACCGCGCCCGGCCTGGGTCTCGATCTCTTGACCTCGTGATCCACCCGCCTCGGCCTCCCAAAGTGCTGGAATTAAAGGCTTGAGCCACTGTGCCCGGCAGGAGCAAAGAATATTGACCTCTGATCCATGATGGACTTTCAGAGAGGCCTGTGTGTCCCAGTGAATTCTGGGCCTCCCTAGTTCTTCTCCCCGAAAATCAAAATAATTTTTTTTTTTCCTTTTTCGAGTTTCTTTCTTTCTTCCTTTTTGATATTTTATTGCACTTTAGGTTCCAGGGTGTATATGAAGAACATGCAGGATTGTTGCATAGGTACATAAATGGCAGTGTGGTTTGCTGCCTCCATCCCATCACGTATATCTGGCATTTCTCCCCATGTTATCCCTCCCCAACTCCCTACCCCACACTGTCCCTCTCCTTGTCCCCCACAACAGACCCCAGTGTGTGTGTGATGCTCCCCTCCCTGTGTCCATGTGTTCTGATTGTTCAACACTTGCCTATGAGTGAGAACATGCGATGTTTGATTTTCTATTCTTGCATCAGTTTGCTGAGAATGATGGTTTTCAGGTTCATCCCTGTCCCTACAAAGGACAGGAACTCATCCTTTTTTATGGCTGCATAGTATTCCATGGTGTATATGTGCCACATTTTCCCTGTCCTTTCTGTCATCGATGGGCATTTGGGTTGGTTCCAGGTCTTTGCTATTGTAAACAGTGCCGCAGTGAATGTACATATGCAAGTGTCTTTATAATATGATATGTAATCCTTTGGATATATACCCAGTAATGGGATTGCTGGGTCAAACTGAATTTCTGTTTCTAAGTCCTTGAGGAATCGCCACACTGTCTTCCACAATGGTTGAACTAATTTACACTCCCACCAACAGTGTAAAAGTGTTGCTATTTCTCCACATCCTCTCCAGCATCTGTTGTCTCCAGATATTTTAATGATCGCCATTCTAACTGGCATGAGATAGTATCTCAATGTGGTTTTGATACTCTAATGACCAGTAATGATGAGCATTTTTTCATGTTTGTTGGCCTCATATATATCTTCTTTTGAAAAGGGTCTGTTCATATCCTTTGCCCACTTTGGAATGGCTATGTTTGTTTTTTTCTTGTAAATCTGTTGTAGTTCTTTGCAGAGTCTGGATATTAACCCTTTGTCAAATGCATAGATTGCAAAAATTTTTGCCCATTCTGTTGGTTGCCGGTTCACTCTAATGATTTTTACCATTGCTGTACAGAAACTCTAGAGTTTAATCAGATCCCATTTGTCTATTTTGGCTTTTGTTGCCAATGCTTTTGGTGTTTGTTGCCAATGCTTTTTGTGTTTAAAATAATTCTTAATTTTCAGACCCCTAAGCTGTACCATTCTAAAGTATTCTAAGATCAACAGAATCAAAGTTCCTGAGAAGGATGTCTAGTGAGGTACAATTAAGACTATGGTGTTAATAATTCACATTAGGAATCTTTGGACTCATTTGTACAATTACATGAAAATTAATTGGATGATGATACGGAAATATTCTACGAAAATACACTTTACCAATATTGGCCCCAGAAGTGATAAGAAGTCTAAACACAACACTACCCCTAGAAGAAAGAGATGTTTATAACTTCTTTTACAAATGAAAGGACCATCATCACAAGGTTTAACTAGCAGATTCCTTTTTTGTTGTTGTTGTTGAGACAAAAGTCTCACACTGTCACCCAGGTTGAAGTGCAGTGGCACAATCTCAGCTCACTGCAACCTCCACTTTCTGGGTTCAGGCGATTCTCCTGCCTCAGCCTCCTGAGTAGCTGGGATTACAGGTGCCTGCCACCACACCTGGCTAATTTTTTAGTAGAGATGGGGTTTCACTATGTTGGCCAGCCTGTCCTGAAACTCCTGACCTCATGATCCACCAGCTCAGCCTCCCAAAGTGCTAAGATTACAGGTGTGAGCCACCGCCCGTGGCCTCAGATTCTATTTTTTTTTTAACTGTCACATAAGCCAGTACTACCTTCTCAATTCAACAGCACTGAATGGTTACTAGAATAATTTCAAATATTTCACCCAAGAAAAATAAGGGCCACCAACTCATATGTAATTAACGAAGAAATGTAAAATTTAATGGTAAAAATCAATACCTTGGATTTTGCAACAGACAAACCCACACTTTAAGTCCACCATTCATTCCCCATGTGAGGGTTTTTAAGCCACCTGAAAAGTTAGAGGGAACACAATTTTCACAAGATCCCTGGTACTTCTGATACTGTCTGCAAGTTTGGAGGTCCCCAAATCCACTCTCACTTTCACTAATTTTATAGGAGAACACATAAAATTATCTGAGAGCATTTGTGCTCTATATCACAGTTGATTTTTATTTTATTTATTTATTTTTTTGAGACGGGGTCTCACTCTGTCGACGGGCCGGAGTGCAGTGGTGCAATCTTGGCTCACTGCAACCTCCACCTCCTGAGGTCAAGCGGTTCTTCCGCCTCATCGTCGCGATTAGCTGGGACCACAGGCACGCGCCACCACGCCCAGCTAATTTTTGTATTTTTAGTAGAGATGGGGTTTCACCATGTTGGCCAGGATGGTCTCGATATCTTCACCTCGTGATCCGCCCAACTCGGCCTCCCAAAGTGCTGGGATTACAGGCGTGAGCCACCACGCCCAGCGCGCCCAGCCTGTATTACAGTTTATTGCCTGGAAAGAATACAGATTAAAAACAGCTAAGGGGAGAAGTTTCTAGAGCGGAGTCCAGGAAAAGTAGCAAGTGCCGAGCTTCCAATTGTCCTGTGTCTGTAATACCAAGATGTGTTACTTTGGAAGGTTGCTTCAATGGGGACTGTAGCCCTGTAGTGTAGTTTGAATTCAGGTAATGTGAGGCCTTGATCATTTTGGTTAGAATTACCTTGGCAATTAGGGCTTTTTCGTTTTGTTTCTTATGACCTTTAAAATAGTTTTGTCTAGTTCTGTGAAGAATATCATTGGTAGTTTGATAGAAATAGCATTGAATCTGTAAATTGCTTCAGGCAGTTTGGCCATTTTTACAATATTGATTTTTCCTGTCCATCAGAGTGGAATGCTTTTGTATTTGTTTGAGTCATCTCTAATTCCTTTGAGCAATGTTTTATAATTCTCATTGTAGAGATGTTTCACTTCCTTGGTTAGCTGTATTTCTAGGTGTTTTATTCTATTTGTGGCAATTGTGAATGGGATTGCCTTTCTGATTTGGTGGTCAGTTTGGCTATAATTAGAGTATAGGAATGCTAGTAATGTTTATACATTGGTTTTGTACCATGAAAATGTACTAAAGTTGTTTTATCAGCTCCAGGAGCTTTTGGGCGGAGACTATGAGGTTTTCTAGATACACAATTGTGTTGTCTGCAAACAAAAATAGTTTGACTTTCTCTCTTTCAATTTAGACATGCTTTATTTCTTTCTTTTACCCAACTGCTGTGGCCAGAACCTCTAATACTATGTTGAATAGGAATGGTGAGATAGGGCATCCTTATCTTGTGCTGATTTTTAAAGGGGATGCTTCCAGCTTTTGCCCACTCAGCATGTGTGATGTTGGCTGTGGGTTAATCATAGATGACTCTTACTATTTTGAGGTATCTTCCTTCAGTACCTAGTTTACTAAGAGGTTGTAACATGAAGAGTGTTGAATTTTATCAAAAGCCTTTTCTACATCTATTGAGATAATCATGTGGTTTTTGTCTTTAGTTCTGCTCATGTGATGAATCACATTTATTGATTTGCGTATGCTGAACCAACCTAGCATCGCAGGGATTAAGCCTGCTTTATTGTGGTGGATTAGCTTTTTCCTCTTTTTGTTTTAGCCAGTGTCTCACTCCATCACCCAGGCTGGAGTGCAGTGGTGTGATCTTGATTCACGGCAGTCTCTGCCTGTGCGTGCAAATGAGTCTTATGCCTCAGCCTCCATAGAAGCTGGCATTACAGGTGTGTCCCACCACACCCAGCTAATTTTTTTGTTTTTAGTAGAGACTGGGTTTAATCATGTTGGCCAGGCTGGTCTCAGACTCCTGACCTTAAGTGATCCTCCCTCCTGAGTCTCCTAAAATCTTGGAATTATAGGCATGAGCCACCATGCCCGGCCTGCATTAGCTTCTTGATGTACTGCTGGATTTGGTTTGCAAGTATTTTGTTGAGGATTTTAAACCAATGTTTATCAAGGATATTGGCTTGGATTTTTCTCTCTTTGTTGTGTAACTGTCAAGTTTTTGTATCAGGATGATGCTGGTCTCATAAAATGAGTTAAGGAGGAGTCCCTTCTTGTCAGTTTTTTCTGAATAGGAAGTTTCCAGCTCTTCTTTGTACATCTGATAGAATTCAGCTGTGAATGTCTGGTCCTGGGCTTTTTTTGGTTGGTAGGCTATTTATTACTGATGCAATTTTGCAGCTCATTATTGAAATTTAATCTTTTAAAGAACTCTGCTGGCAAACCAATTTCACCATTTGCCCAAAAGGGAGATATTATCTTTATTTCCTTAAAGAGAAATTATTGGTCTGCTTGGGGAATGAATTTCTTTTTGGTTCAGTCTTGGGAAGGTTATGTCTAGGAATTTATCTGTTTCTTCTCGATGTTCTAGTTGTGTGCATAGAGGTGTTCACAGTAGACTCTAATGGCCATTTGTATTTCTGTTTGGTCCATGGCAACATCCCCTTTGTCACTTCTAATTCTGTTTATTTGGGTTTCTCTCTTTTTTTCTTTACTAATCTAGATAGAGGTCTATGTATCTTTTTAATTTTTTTCAAAAAAGCAACTCTTGGTTTCACTGATCTTTTGAATAGTTTTTTGTGTGTCAATATTATTCAGTTCACCTGTGGGTTTTTTATTTATTTATTTATTTATTGTCTTCTGCTAACTTTCAGGTTGTTTGCTCTTGCTTCTTTAATTCTTTTAGTTGTGATGTTAGGTTGTTAATTTAAGATCTTTCTAACTTAGTGATGTAAGTGTTTAGTGTTATAATTTGTCCCAACACTGCCTTATCTGTGCCCCAGAGATTCTATATGTTGTGGTATATATACACCATGGAATATCATGCAGCCATAAAAAGAATGGGATTATGTCCTTTGAAAAGACATGGATGGAGCTGGAGGCCATTATACTAACCAAACTAACACAGAAGAAAATAACCAAATATCACATGTTCTCACTTATAAGTTGAAGTTAAATAATGAGAACACATGGACTCAAAGAAATTACAGACACAGGGCTTGAGGGTGGAGGGTGGAAGGATGAAGAGGATTAGAAAAAATGACTATTGGGTACTAGACTTAGTACCTGGGTCTTTAAATAATCTGTACAACAACCCCCAGTGACATGATTTTAACTGTATAACAAACCTGTGCATGTACCCCTGAACCTAAAATAAAAGTTTAAAAGAAAAAAAAATCCCTGGCCAGGCGCGGTGGCTCAAGCCTGTAATCCCAGCACTTTGGGAGGCCGAGGTGGGTGGATCACGAGGTCAAGAGATCGAGACCATCCTGGTCAACATGGTGAAACTCCGTCTCTACTAAAAACAGAAAAAATTAGCTGGGCGTGGTGGCACACGCCTGTAATCCCAGCTACTCAGGAGGCTGAGGCAGGAGAATTGCCTGAACCCAGGAGGCGGAGGTTGCAGTGAGCCAAGATCGTGCCATTGCACTCCAGCCTGGGTAACAAGAGTGAAACTCTGTCTCAAAAAAGAAAAAAAAGAAAAAAAAAAAAGAAAAAAAATCCCAGCATAATATTTTGATTGCTAAACACAAATCCTTATAAATGGAACCAGGACTTTTTGGAGAAATGGCTTACTCCACCCTAGGTAAGAGAGAATATGGGGTTAATTTTGAATATATAGTTGATTCAAAAAGTAAAAAATCACAATCATTTCCAGGTTGTGGGGAGGGAGGAAATTAGAAGTGACTGCTTAATGGGTACTAAGTTACTTTGTGGGATGACAAAAATATTCTAGAACTAGATAGTTGGGATAGTTAGGATAGTTATGCAATATTGTGAATGTACTAAGTATACTTAATTGTACTGTCTAAAATGGTGAATTTACATTATGTTTATTTTAACTCAATAATATAAAAGAAATTGAAAAACTGGTCAGTTATAGCCCAGCTAGGAAACTTTCCAATGAACATGTTTGGAATAACTTGAACAACAACAAAATTATAGAAATATTGCTTTCCCTGCAATATTGCAATATTTCGTTGCAAGTGAAAAGGAATCTTTGAAACCTATGGGATAATAAAAATGTGACGGGGTAAAAGAGAAATCTCCTTTTTTACAGTGAATTGTCAACCAAAACCCTTATACATAACGGAACTTTAGTACATCTGTCCTACCATCATCATCTGATGATTGAGTCACACGAAAAAATCGTAAGTAGATTCTAAAACAATATGATCAAAAGTAAAATTCTTTAGGACACCTCAAAGTATTACTGCAGTGAGTACTTACTAATTACAAAGGGGAAATGCACTTCTAAAATGGGTAAATCCACATGTGGAATTCTCCACAAGTGCACGTATCAACATTATCAATGATCCACATTCCATGATGTGTATGATGGGGTACATTCAACTCTTTAAATGTATGAACAGGTAGTGTTTCAGAAAAGATAATGATTTCTAGAATTTCAGGGAATGAAAATGTCTTCTTCATGGATAAATGAATGAAGAAATAAATTTAATTGGCCAGCAAGTCTAGTATCACATTTATGTAAGTCCATTGAACCAAGACAAGACTATATGTATGGTGTGACTATATATTTAATTTGTGTGCAATTAGAGATGCAATATCAGATGTAGTGAAACTACACAAAAGGTGGATAAACACAAAAGTACAGAAGATGGTTACATTTGGAAATCAAAGGGTATTGGTGTGCAATTGATTAATGTGAGTTTTACCTAACTTTGTTTAAGTATTTTATCAACAGTGAACACAACAGCTCCAGGTGAGTTCTGTGTTTTCTTATAGAGAATTACTGAAACTGAAGGTGGCTTGGGGAACTTTCAAACTGGCAGATGGTGTCAGAAAAAAAGTGGTTGTCCTACATAAACTGTGTTCCCTCTTATTTTTCAGTTGGCCTAAAACACACAAAAGGAGCAAATGGTGGACACAAATTAAATTGTGAATTTGTCTGTTGCAAAATCCAGATAACTTATTTTGACCATTAAATTTATATTTCTTTATTAATTACGTAACCAATGAGATATCCTCATTATTTTTAGCAAAAATAAGTGTAGAAATTTCTGGTAACCATTCAATGCTGTTGAATTGAAGTAGGATTGGCTTATGTGATAGTTAAGATATGATAGACTCTGTCAGTTAAACCATTTGGTTCTAGCATTTGTTTTTGTGAGAGAGTATTATGAACATCTCTCTTTATTCTGGGGATAATTTTCTCTTTAAACTTCCTATCACTGCTGGAGGTCAATATTGGTAAAGTACATTTTCCTAAACTATTTCTGTAGCATAGTTTCTACAGTAATTGGAATTTAATATACAGGTGAGTCCAGTGACTTCTAATGTGAATTACTGACATATTTTGCTTTGACTTTTACCTCATCAGAAATCCTTCTGATTGTTCACCACCCACTTATGAGTGAGAACATGTGATGTTTGGTTTTCTGTTCTATGTTAGTTTGCTGAGAATTATGGTTTCCAACTTTATCCATGTCCCTGCAAAGGATGTGAACTCATCCTTTTTTATGGCTACATAGTATTTCATGGTGGATATGTGCCACATTTTCTTTATCCAGTCTATCATTGATAGGCAATTGGGTTGGTTCCACGTCTTTGCCATTGTGAACAGTGCCGCAGTAAACATACATGTGTGTGTGTCTTTATAATAGAATGATGTATAAACATTATATCCTTTGGGTATATACCCAGTAATGGGAATGGGATTGCTAGGTCAAATGATATTTCTATATTTCTTTTCTTTTTTTTTTTTTTTTTCTTTTTTTTTGAGACGGAGTTTCGCTCTTCTTACCCAGGCTGGAGTGCAAACGGCGCGATCTCGGCTCACCACAACCTCCACCTCCTGGGTTCAAGCAATTCTCCTGCCTTAGCCTCCTGAGTAGCTGGGATTACAGGCACGCGCCACCATGCCCAGCTAACTTTTTGTATTTTTAGTAGAGATGGGGTTTCACTATGTTGACCAGGATGGTCTCCATCTCTTGACCTCGTGATCCACCCGCCTCAGCCTCCCAAAGTGCTGGGATTACAGGCGTGAGCCACCGCACCCGGCGGTATTTCTATATCTCTACAACCACCATGGCATGTGTATACCTATGTAACAAACCTGCACATGTACCCCAGAGCTTAAAGTATAATAATAATAAAAAAAGAAATTCTTCTCAGGAACCTTGTCTGATTCTGTTTATCTGCTGAATCTTTAAAAATGTTGCAGTGTAGAAATCTGAAATTTAAGAACTAAGTTTAAATAATAAATTAGGAATTAAGTTGACTTTGGGGTAGAGGAACTCAGATAAGACTGGAATCCAGTGACACAAAAACCTCTCTGCAAGTCCCTCATGGTTCGGAGGTTAATATTTCAAGCTTCTTCCAGATGAGACCATGTGTGCCTTTAGGGATCATACAAAAGTTAGAGCTTCTCCCAAACACTTCAACAGTCTCTTACAAGATACTTACAAGAAACTTGTAATTGGTTCTGGTAATTAGCAGGTGGGAAAAAGGTTTTCAGAAATGTTCTCAGCTCCCCAAGCGTGCACTGTCATTGCCACTACAGGCAAAGTGATAATTGCAGTCCTGGGAGGAGCTGAGGTCACAGAATCACAATGCTTTATCTCAGAGTCTGGTTGCCTCTTGCATGTCTTGGCTGTCATGACCTTCACACTGAGCCCACACTCTGGCACAGGGAAGAGGTCCAGTGAGTATTTTCTGTTTCATTTCAGACGCAGTCTGTAAGGAAAGGAATTATGAATAGGTGACCATGCCTGGTAAATACGTTCTTCTGAGGTAGAAACAGATCCAGTGGCAAGACTAGACAAGCAGGAGGAATAATTTATTGGCTATGAGCTGAGGTTATAAAAAGAGAAAGGTCCCAGATCATATGCCAATCTCTGATGGCTCTTAATAGATATTTTTAAAGCCCTCACTAAAGATGATTATTAGTGAATAATTCAAGCAACAATGATATCTGATATCCTATTTTAAATGTGCTTAGGGATTTAGTAATAAAATCAATATGCTGTTCACATTACCTTACATGAAGAATAAATTTTTAGTAGTATTATTATAGGTGTGTTTATAGTGCCTTCATGCTTATAATGAAGATTAGGATAGCACTCTAGGAATTAGCTAATTCTGTGCAGAAACCATGATCTAAACTTCCTTCTGGAATTAAAAAATACTTTAATGTAAATCTAGTGATCTACTTAAGGTAGTAATTGTATTTCTTTGGAAACATCTGTGGTTTGATAATTATGGTGAGATTGCATTTCTTCTTGGAGTTAGGGATACAACCTTTAAGGAGAAGCTAACATTATAACTATAGACATTAGACAGTGGATGTCAAAACCAAATATATATTGTGTTATTCCTCTGGTTTAATAATACTTTAACATCAATCCTAAGCTCGTAACATATTTTTCTGTTACTTCAATTCATACTTGCACAATATTTTATATTCTCCAGACTCCATTTACAGAAGTCTGTTGTATTTTTATATCTTTCACAAATCTCACTTCATTCCTAATAGTTTTTAATATTTTAAAATAGACAAGCATTTAGCTTGAAATAAGTAATAATTTCTACACTATTTTTTCACATATTAATGTTTCATGTTTCATAGTTTAGTAACAAAATAATATTGCTCAATAATTTATTTGATAGGTGCCACTATATTTTTTTCTTGCAATAACAGCAAATGAATCTTTTTACTGCCAAACTAATATTGAGTCAGTCTTGCATTCATTAAATTCTATTTGGACACCAAGCAGTTTCATGTAGCATTAGTTGTATTAGTACACTGCATTTTATTAGGATCTCTGAACTTCATTCCTCTTTGCTGCTGGCCTAGATAATAAAACTTAATACCATAGTGGAAACTTGTTACAACCAAAATTATGCTATAAAATTCCAACAATGTAAAATGAATTATCAAGTCATAAAAACAAATTATAGGTCAAGGTTATTTGAAAACACAGCTGACATAGGTTGGTAGTGTGGCACAGTGCTTAGGGCACTGTCTTTGTGCCCAGTGAAGCCAGGTTCATGTCTCCACTCTGCCTGTACTCAGCATGAGAATGTAGACAGATCACTTAGCCTCTCTGTTTCTATGATTTCATGTCTTGACAATGAATATATTGCCAGTATTCAGCTCACATAGTTTGGAAGATCAAAGAAAGTAACATAAGTATAGCATTATAGCAGTGATTCATATAATGCAAGTACTATTTGAACTATACACATTCAAGTCCCAAAAAGGGACTCTTAGCAAAATAGAAGTGTAAGCCAGTATTTCTCAGTGAAAAGATGGTATTTTGTTGATATGAATGGTGCTACCCACACCACATATCTCCATGCAGGATCCTCTAGCTCTGATGATATCAGGCAATGGGAACTGTCAAAATGACTTCCAGATATCTGGCAATAGGAATAGTCCACATATCTCAAAGTGTAATTAGAATCCTGGGCATTTTCTCTCTTACCATTATCTTTTAAAAATTCTTTAACTGCCCTGAATGCAGGCTGAGATTCATATATTTAATTCTCAAGCACGTGATTATAGCCACATTTTGGTCATTTTCTTTTAATGTGTCTCCAAGATAATGGCAGCTTTTAGGCTGAAGCATTTTTCGATGTAAATTTATTTGCTACCCTCATAGAGGTGGCAGGATGTGTTCACAGGAATTATCTTCCTCTTGAGTGTCTCCAGAAATCTTGATAATCTCTATGAACCCCAGATATGTAGAACTTAAAAGTTCCCAAATATATTGTATTTTCTATTTTCCTTTGCTGGACTCTGTAATGCTGACAAAGATCATTTTTTTCTCATATAGATGGTTGTCAAAGTGAAAAATAAACATCAGAAATTTAAAAAAAGATTTAGGATGTTATACTGAACTTCATGGCAAAACTACAACTCAGGACATGCAGCATTTTTCTTATTCTTTTTGTTTCATGTTGGGGTCATGATCTGCACCTGTGGCTAAGTAAGTTTTACTGTATAAAGACACAAACAGCAGGTAGCACATATTCACAGGAACAACCTTTTCCTCACCTACTTCTTCCAACTGTTTTTCCCTTTTTAAAAAATTAAGAGCATACATATTATATGTGTATAGTTCAATTGAATATCATCAACAAAATACGCTTCTGTATGCAACATCTAGATTCAAAAATAGAATATGGCTGCCCTTCAGAAATTCCTTGTGTCCTCTCTAAATCAGGGCCCCCAGGAGCATAGTTCTGTTGAGTGTATTTGTAGGAGTAGAATTGTTGGGACAGAGGTTTATGTCTATTTTTAAATTTAAGAGATTAAATCACTTTGCCTGTTTTGTACTTCCTTTTATATTTGCCTCGTTTTCATTCCATGTGATTTTTGTGAATGTATTGTTGGCATTCAGTCTCATTGCTGTATAACATTGCATTGTGAGCATGTCAAACAATTAATTGAGTCATTCTGCCATTGATGAGCATGTGAGTGGGCTTCAGTTCAAGGCCATTATGACTACTGCTGGGATATAAGTTCTGGAATTTCTCTTTGGTGATATATATAGAAATTTCTTTGGAGTATATTCATACAAGTGAAATTGTTGGGAGATAGGTTTATACTGTTCAGCTTAAGTAGATTCTACCAGTTTTTCAAAATGTTTGTGTCAGTTTTAACACCCATCCACAGTTTAGCAGATTCTTGGATTATCCTAATTCTTGCCAAAACTTGGTATTTTCTGACATTTTTTATTATTATTATTGAGACGGAGTTTCGCTCTTGTTGTCCAGGCTGGAGTGCAATGGTGCACAACCCTAGCTCACTGCAACCTCTGCCTCCCAGAATCTAGCGATTCTTCTGCCTCAGCTTTCCAAGTAGCTGGGATTACAGGTGCCCATCATCATGCCCAGCTAATTCTTTGTATTTTTAGTAGAGACTCGGTTTTACCATATTGGCCAGGATGTTCTCAAATACCTGACCTCAGGTGATTCACCTGCCTTAGCCTCACAAAGTGCTGGGATTACCATGCCTGGCCTCCTGATATTTTAAATATAGATTTCCATTTGGTATACAGTGATTCCAGGTAATGATGCTATTTGAATTTTACTAAGGGCATTGAACTTTTTCTCCATATTTATTGTTTAGTGACTATTGCCTGGTTTTTGTTTAGTTTCTATTGGAATGTTTTGCTCATATTTTATTCTATGGTATTCTGTTATTGTTCTTTAAGCTACCTACACCTCTCCCTTCCCCACCCCCTGTGTGTATCTGTGGTATGTGTTTGTGCCTTTTAATGAGTGCCAGCTCTTAATTGATTACGGTCTAATTTGTCATTTCACCCATATGGTGAAATGTGTTTTGTGCTGTTTCTACATTTTAAAAATTCTAAGAACACAGAAATATTTTAGTTACTCTGAATATTTTATTAATTACCATTAAATTGGTATCAGCAATTCATTCAAAATTGATCTTTTGTATGATTTGAGTAGTGATTAAGGCTGACTCTTTTTTATCCTTATTCCTGAGAGATATCAGTTTATTCTGAAAATGTTGGATTGTTTCCTTCTATTTGCTGTCACTTGTCATTGCTTCCTCCAGGTTAACACTACCTTCTTCTTAGAGCTGACTTCCATGAGATATCCCGGCAATCCTTTCTACCTGGATGTGCATCTTGATGTCTTTGGTAATCCCGCAGTACACAATGACAGTTATTCTTGTTGTTAAATCCTCATTGAGGTATTTTACTCATAGGAATGACTGTTGCCATAATTTAAAGCAAAATGTCCTGACTGACACAAGAGCTTCTTCCAAGGATTTGGCAATAGGAATCATTTTCTTATCACAGA